ACTAATTACCATTGAGTTAAAACAAATGAAAAGCAAACAAATATCACTAGTTATATCCTATGAAAATCACGTAATTTCTAGTAGGCATAATTAGTTGTCATTGTGTTAAATGAACAAAGAGGGAAAAAAATCATAGGTTATAGTCATGAAAATTTTGAATTTGAAATGCGCCTAAATAAATTGTCATTGGAACAAAATAGACATAAATGTACAGAAATCGTAGGTTAGCCTAAGAAAATCATGAATTTGAAATACAAATACTTAATGCTATCGGGTCAAAACAAATGAAAACTAGCCAAAATCATGGAATATAGTCCATTATAATTGGAAATTTTGAAGAATGAGAATTTAATTATCATTGGTTCAAAATGAACAAAAATAGAAAAATAATTTTATCCCATAATATTGAAAATTTTAAAGTATGAATAACTAAATGCCATTGAGTTGAAATGAACTTGTAGCTCATCTGCTTATGAAAATTGCAAATATTGAGCTACGCATAATTAATTGTCATTGAGTTAAAAGGAATGAAAATTAACAAAAACCGTGGGTTATATCCAATGAAAATTTAGAATTTTGACATAGCTATAATTAATTGTCATTAGGTTGTATGAATGAAAAGGGATAAAGATCAAAATTCGAATTCCGAAATGCGCCTAAATAAATTACCTTTGAATTGAAATAGACAAACATGGATAGAAATTGTGGTAGCCTATACAATTCATGAAATACACATTTATTCGCCATTAAGTTGAAATGAATGAAAATTGACAAAAATCATGGGTAGCCCATTAAAATTGTGAATTTTGAAGAAAGAAAATTTAATTGTCATTAGGTCTAAATGAACAAAAATGAAAAAAAAAATGAAATCTAACCTAGCGAAAATTGTGAATTTTAAATTAACATCTGTTATCTATATGATTGATGAATTATCCGTAAAAAAACAGAATAAAGTGACCTCGGCCACTTGGGAGAAGCTTGATGGTTATATATGTTTGTTGGCATAATTCAACAAGAAATCCTTTTTTCCAGCTTCTTTGCTTTCATTTTAATTGGAAAATGTTCTCTTGGATATACATGCTTAGACAAGGGTCAATACGACAATGTCCCAATTCCTATTCAGTGTTAATTTCATCCTTCTACATGTTTTGGACAACACAGAGATTCTTTTTGCTGCTTGCAGACTTATTATTTGCACTCAACAAGAAATTACCCACCATCTCCCTCAAACACCCCCCTAAAAAAAATAATAAAATAAAATAAAAGTCCTTTTGAGATGGAGCAGTTAGCATGGATGAGAGGTTTGTTGGTGGGTTAGCAGCGAAGAGGGTGGCAAAGGCGACTCAGTTAATGGAAGCGTTGGACCAACTTAGGGATCCACAGTGCGAGCTCGTCCTTTTGAGGGCTTGTGCGGGTTTGTCCAAGTTGTATTTTGCCTTGAGGACTTGCCCGCCACAGCTCTTTGCTCAGGCGGAGACTAAGTTTGATATTACGTTTCGAAGGTTAGTCGAGAGTATTGTCACATCTGAAGGCCCGGGCTTCGAGGATCTACAATGGAGGCTGGCCTCTTTACCTATCAAGGCGGGCGGGCTGGGGGTCTATGCAGCGACCCACTGTTTTAAAAAACCTCTGCCTAGTTCGCTTAGGCGTACGCCTAGACCTAGGCGGTACCTAGGCAGCCTAACTAGCGCCTAGCGTCTAGGCGGTATTTAGGCTGCCCATCTAGATTTTACGAGCGTTTAGATGAGCATTGTCTACTTATGTGGATTGCACCCTGTAGGTCTTGGTTGTGATTTTATGTGTTGTAGCTTACACGTCCTCCAAACTCCATTAACCTCCAAATATGAACACCTCCACTACCTCCTCCGATCTTCAACAAAACTTTATCAACCACCACTTAAATGAAGAAAAAAATCCGTCTAGACATCAGTCCGGCATCTAAGCTTTCTATAACAATTGACATTCACTATCAATTATTGTAATTAAAAATAAAAAAGAAAACATCTTAGGTTCTAGCATTGTTAATTATTATTTTGGCTATTTAATATCTAAGTATGCATGATTTATTATGGAACTAAAATTGCTATCTTTTTTTAAAAATTTATATGAATTTAATACATATTTTTATTAATTATTATAATTAAATAATTTAAAAATAGTCAAACGTCTGGGCGCACGCCCAAGGGTCTAGGCGCTAGACGCTTGCTCAAACGTCTAGTCTGTCTAGCGCTTTCTGTAACATTACCGAGCTCCCTCTCTGTAACTACTAACAAGGTAAAGAGTACTTCTTAAATATCTATTTAAGTTAATTAACAACAATAACTTAAACTTAAGAAGTGTAAGTTAATAGTAAACTTAAGTTAAGTTTAAGTTTAAGTTAAACTTAAGTTTAAGCTAACAGTAAACTTAAATTCAAGTTTAAGTTAATATTAAGTTTTTTGTTGATGGTAAACTTAAGTTTAAGTAAATAGTAAACTTAAGTTAACAATATTTTAGTTAATAGTAAACTTAAGTTTAAGTTTATTGTTAACTTAAACTTAACAGTAACTTATAAGTTAACAGTAATTTGAGTTGAGAATGAGTTTTTCACTGTTGAGATGAACTTATAATTTGAGTTGAGAAGTATAAACATACAAAGAGCTATTGTAATTGGTAAACCAAGCAATTTAGTTAACAGTGTTTATATTTTAGTATTTATGCATCTTTGATTGGGTATATATATATTTGCCGATGCCATACAGTTTCTTTTGTGACCTCTCGGATTCACTCCATCGAGCTCCAAGACCATATTTTGAGAGGGTGTGGTGAGGTTTTGGGCGGGCCTTTCTTCAAGCCAAGCTACCTGAGGTTGTCCTTCTTCAAATCATCACTAAAGGGTCTGTCCCCCCAAAACCAATGCATTACTTGGCAGACATCTTTTATGGTGGCGTTTGTAGAGATCTATCTACGGAGTTTGACCTTTCAGAGGCAGATTGCGATTGTTGAGTGTCTGCGGGCAAAACACGCCCAAGATTTCTTGTTGGCCACGCCTATTGAGGGATTGGGGCAGCGTATGACTCCGGGGGAGTACCAGGCCATCCTCAGGTACAGGTTGTTGGTTCCTTTGTTCGTGGAGGGGACAGTGTGCCCAGTTTATCGTAGAACGCAGATGGATGCTTTTGGAGAGCATGTCATCCACTGTCAGAAGCATCCGGGGTTCAAGTACAGGCACGACTTAGTCAGAGATGTCTTGTATGATATCCTCTAAAGAGCAGGGATCCCATCAAAGAAGGAATCGCCGGTTAACTTACTCACTTCTCCTGGAAATGCTAGATCTACTCTAAGGCCGACAGACGTTCTTGTTTACAATTGGAGCGGGGGGAAGCACGCTTGTGTTGATCTCATAGGGGTGTCTCCGTTGGTGGGGTTTGATAATGGAGAGTTCAAGGTTGGATATACAGCGGATAGAGCAGCAGAGGCAAAGGTGGGCAAACATGATCAAGCTTGCAAGGACAACCACCACTACTTCACCCCGTTTGCTTTCGATACGTTTGGTTTCCTTGCAGCTAATGCGGCGGAGTTCCTCAGGAGGGTACAGAAATTCATGAATAAGAATGTGGCGACAGCAGGGCCCGCTGAGTACGTGTTTCGTAGGTTGGGTTTTGTAATTCAGAAAGGATTAGCGGCGCAGCTTGTTGCCCGCTTATCATCATCACATGTGTAATATTTTATTTCAAAAATTTTTACTTAATTAAAAAAAACAAAAAAAAACAAAGATATTCTTTGCTTTCATCTTTATTGGAAAATATTCTCTTGGATATAGATGATTAGACAAGGGTTAATACAACAATGTCCCAATTCCTATAAGTGTTAATTTCATCCTTCTACATGTTCTGGACAACACAGATTCTTTTTGGTGCTTGCAGACTAATTAGTTTGCCTTGATGTCTCTCTTTAGGGGGTTTTCCTTAGAAACAACCTGTAAAATAGAGTCACTATGAAGAAACAACCTTTGAATGTTAGTATTACATAAACTAACTATAAAAGTGATTTGTTGTGTTACAATAAGCCACCTCCAAGTTTTTCATAAAAAACCCAAAAATATCCTTAAAAACTCACATTCGAGGTAGATGACTCAGTTAATGTTTACGTTTGGTTAGGATACAAATCACGTGCCTTGGACGTGTATTGTTTAGGGTATTTTTGGTTTTTCAGTGAAAATTTAACTAGGAGATGGTTGATTGCATCAAAAACCCACTTTAAATCAATGGTGGTTTATTTGTTATTGCCATTCAAAGGTGTTTCTGTATAGTGACCCTGTTTTTAAGGTCTTTCTAGGATAAAACCTTCCCTTGACATATTAGGTGTTCTGCTTCCAAACAACTTCTTTACCTTGATTGCGCCAGGGTGGGGGGACTGATCTAGGTAATCCTGATTGTACATGTTTGTACATTCTGGCTGTAATTCTGTTATGCATGCGCCTATAGATACGTCAGAGCAGTACTGCAGTGTACTTTAATGTTGTGGTATGCTATGATTAGACCGAGGGAGATAACTAAACATTCATCCCCCCC